ACAGCTGACTCCAGGACCCGAGAGCAGCGACGGCAGCAAACAGCCTGCAAATAAGGTGTACCAAATAAATAGGCGAAGGAGCGACCCAAGGAGGCAACGCAGAAAAAAACGTAAGGCCGTAAAACGTAATCAGTTGGCCAATCACAGTAGAGACCGTAAAGCCGGTAGCGAATCCAATGGGCGAGTTCAAGACGGCAAAGTGGCTAGGTATGCTTGCCGAGCGATTGAATATAATTGGTTATTACTTATAGATCCAACCAATCATACTCGATCGCTCGGCAAGCGTACCTAGCCGCTTTGTCGTCTTGAACTCGCCCAATGGGTGCATCCAGAAGCACGACCGCTCATTGAGCGCTCAGTAAGCTCTTGTACCTGTTTGGTTTATATTTTTAGATCTAATGGAATATGCCAATTAGATAAAAAAGCTCATTGAGCGCTTAGTGAGCGGTCGTGGATGCACCTAATGTTACGATTTCCTTACTGATTACTTCTTACGGCCTTACGTTTTTCTGTGTGTTTCTGGCACGTCATGACTCGAAAGCGCGGTGGCCGGTGGACGGCGTGGACGGCGCGCGTGCCAGGCTATCCCCGCTCCCAGCGGCCCACACGCTATACGATTCGTGAGATGGACGTACATATACGCTCAGCAGTAGTAGGTCGCGCGAACGCGTGTTTATATATGTATAATATACATAAAACATGATTTTATTTTACCAGACACTTGAAACAGAAAATATACTGACAATGTATTTGTACAATCTGAAATAACAAATATGTCAACAGTATATTCTAAAAATTAAGTGTTCTTTCGGACAATAAAAACAAAAGTCAACAAATTTGTCAATACTTTATTTGTCGTGGTCAAAGAGAGAGAGAGATACAATTTAATGTTTAAAAAATCTAAACTTTGAACGAAAATTCCGAAAAATTCTGTACGCTAAATTGGATCAAATTGAACATTTTTTGTCTCCTAGACTTTTTCGATAAAATTGATAATTTTCAAGATAGAAAATGTCAGAGCTTGAAAAATGACTACATTTACGATTTTCGTTCTCACGAACTAATTATCCAATCAGCACGAATAAAAAACGAAAATGTTCGGCCAATCTTAAACTTTAATGTGAATTTTTTATATTTTTGTCCGTACTGTTGTTGATAGTCAAAACTGTATTAGAATGAAGCTCTGAATGCTGGTCCGCGGCGCGTGAGCGATCTCGACGCTACGTTGCCACGTAGGTGCGCCGACCATGTTGCCATGCTGTGTCGATTTGCGAATCCTGCAATGCTATGAATCGCGTTGAGACTGCAGACGGCTCATGCGCCGCGAACTAGCATTCAGAGCTACATTGTAACAGAGTTTTCACTGTCAATAACAGTACGGATTAAAATAAAAAAAATGCTCATTAAAGTTTAAGATTGGCCGTACATTTTCGTTTTTTATTCGTGCTGATTGGATAATTAGTTCATGAGAACAAAAATCGTAAATCTAGTCATTTTTCAAGCTCTGTCATTTTCTATCTCGAAAACTATTGATTTTAGCAAAAAAGTCTGAGAGACAAAAAATGTTAACTTTGACCCAATTTAGCATACAGAATTTTTTCGGAATTTTTGTTCACAGTTTTGATTTTTTAAAATTTAGATCCAACGTTTTAGCGACTGAAAATGGTTGGACTCGATTCCTTATATTATTCTGCGAAAAAGCATGTATATACACTTTCTTTGTTGACGTGATCATTAAAAAGTTACGAACAATTTTTTGTTTAAAAAATTAAAACTGTGAACAAAAATTCTGAAAAAATTCTGTACGCTAAATTGGATCAAAGTGAACATTTCTTGTCTCTTAGACTTTTTTGATAATATCAATAGTTTTCGAGGTAGAAAATGTCAGAGTTTGAAAAATGACTAGATTTACAATTTTCGTTATCACGAACTAATTATATTATTTAAATTCTACTAAATTAAAAAGTAAAACCCATGAGGTATCATCTTTATCTTCATACAATGAAACCTAAGTATATGCCTACAAACTTACCTTTTTAAAAAAAAAAGGTAGAAAAAAGCGCTAAGAGTGGGTACTGCTGGTCAAAAAACCATTTGGGCCAGTTTCACCAACGTCAACTACTTAATCGACTGTGAAACTGACCAATCACATTTGCTGTTTAGTAGAACCATCTTTAAAAACCTACATGATTTTATCCTTACTTACTTAATTCTAATGACATGTATCATTTGTATAAAAGATTTGATATCAATAGTCGGCGCCAAGTTATTCTACCTTATTACTTACTTAATTTTAATGACATTTATCATTTGTATACAAGATTTGATATCAACAGTCGGCGCCAAGTTAAATTCTACCAAATTAAAGAGTAAAACACAAGTGGTACCTTTAATCTTTAAGAACCCATATAGTACTATTATTTAAATTCCACTAAATTAAAAAGTAAAACCTAAGTGGAATTATCTTTATCTTCATACAATGAAACCTAAGTATATGCCTTTGTATTCTTATTAAAAGATCTTGCTATTCGAAACCAAGTGACTTATTCTTCTTTAAAACAATTATATCACAATTAATTTAAAAACAAAAGGAAAAAAATTTATTTAAATAGAAAAATTTTTTATGTAAAAACACTTCGCGCTGTGCTAGAGCGAATAAGACAAACAATAAAAACTATCTAAAAGCTATAACAATTAATACAAATATATGTAATGATAATGATAATTTAAAAATTATAGTTAACATATTCTAAATGCTACATTTAATTATTAAATACACAGCTTACTTTTCTTTTTTTATGTATGTCACTCGCATATACTGTACGCGAGAATATACATACGGACTGCATACTTTAACTCTCGTAGTTTCTAATCTCTTTTATACAAAATGTTACATCCATATATAATTTTATTATGACGTTAGTATGTATTGGGATGAGATACAATTCACTCGCACATACATATACACGAATATATACACAATAAATACTTTATTTCTCGTGAAAATGTTTCGTATCTTTATTATTGTATTTTATTACATCGAGATCGAGAACTAGAGCAGCGCGAAGTGTTTTTACATAAAAAATTTTTCTATTTAAATAAATTTTTTTCCTTTTGTTTTTAAATTAATTGTGATATAATTTTTTTAAAGAAGAATTTAAGTCACTGGTTTCGAATAGGAAGATCTTTTAATAAGAATACAAAGGCATATATTTAGGTTTCATTGTATGAAGATAAAGATAGAACAACATAGGTTTTACTTTTTAATTTAGAAGAATTTAAATAAATGTACTATGTGGGTTCACTTAAAGATTAAAGGTACCACTTGTGTTTTACTCTTTAATTTGGTAGAATTTAACTTGGCGCCGAATGTTGATATCAAATCTTGTATACAAATGATAAATGTCATTAAAATTAAGTAAGTAATGAGGTAGAATAACTTGGCGCAGACTATTGATATCAAATCTTTTATACAAATGATATATGTCATTATAAGGCTACGTTCGGAAACTGCACCCGGGTGTACTCGGGTGAGCTCAAGCTGTTCGGAAACATTTGGGTTGTATCAAGGTGCCAGAGACAAAACCGTTCGGAAACTCTGCTAGGTGACACTTTAGGAGGAAAATTTTCACCCTGAAATTTCAAGGTGAATGCGGGTAAATTTTGCGTTTGGCGGGATTGTTTAAGCTCTGTGATAATGGAATACATAAATTTAGTGAAGGAAAGACATAAATTATGTACAATAATTAATACGTTGAGAATGGTAAATAAGAGTCAATCTAAATCTGATAATATATTCTAATATTCTATATTGCGAAGAATATCACGTAATGTTTGGCGTTTCGTCCCGGCTTCCACTACTGGACTCATCAGTAAGGTATTGTAGTGGAAGCCTACCTTAGACGCCGGTGTAAGTTATTAAATCGAGATTCTATATAAAGAGATATA